ATTAAGTGCATGTCTGGGGTTGTGCATGTGCTTGTATGTGTGTGCACAAATGTGGAATAAGTTGAGGGTGAGTACATGTGTGTGTGAATGTGCATGCATGTGTGAAAAGTTGAGGTTGAGTGCATGTTTCAGTATGGATTTGTGTGTGTGTGTTTGTGTGTGTGTAAGTGAGTGACTTGGGAGGTGAGTGTGAGTGGAGTTAGTATCTAGGGAGAAGTGTGTGTGTGCATGTGTGAGGGGGTTAATGAGGGGCTTTAGGAGTGTGTCTGGTAGGTGAGCATGTGGATGTGTGTGTGCATGGGGGTGACTGTGGGGAGGGGTGTGAGCTGGTGGCTGAGTTGGGGGAAAGTGTGTGAGAGAGATGAACAAATGTGTAAGTGTGCATGTGGGTTCATGTAGGAGATATAAATAAGTGCGTGTGAGTGTGTGTGTGGAAGGTGAGTGTGGAAGGGATGAATGAGTGTGTGGTGTGATGAGCATGGGAGGGATGAATGTGTGTCTGAGTGTGTGGTGGATGGGATGTATGAGCGTGTGTGTATAGGGTGAGTATGCAGGAGGGATGAATGAGTGTGTGAGAGTGTGTGTAAGGTGAGTATGGGAGGGATGAATTAATGTATGCATGTAGGGGAAAGTGAATGCATGTGACGGCAGCATGTGTGTGTGTATGGTTGTGTGTGTGTGTGTGTGTGTGCACAAGAGGAAGAGGAGGAGAGATCTGAGGCTAGGGAATGTGTGGGGAGGGCATAAGTGCAGTGTGTGTACATGATGTATGTGTGTACGTGCAGTGCAGGAATACACAACACCCCCCCCACACACACCATCCAGGCATAGCCGGAAGCAACACATCATTTATTGGGGGGGGGGGTGAGAAATGACCCAGCCTGGGGGGGCAGAGGGGTTGTGGAAGGAGGGTGCTGGATCATGCCTGAGACCCAGGCCCACACCTGACTACAGACAGGGCCTGATCCTGGCCTGGGGAACCCCCTCCCTGCCCTACATTGGAGCCTGGGCTGGCCCTAGGAAGTGGGAAAGCCCCCCCCAGTGGGTGCCCAGCTCAGCTGTGGACCTAATCCCAGCCTGGCACAGGGGCCCAATCCTGGCTTCACATGTGGATGGACCCTCCCTACAGAAGGGCCCTGAACCCAGCCCCACACAGGGGGCCCGATCCTGGCCCTGCCCACATGGGGGCACCCAGCTCCACACATCCATCAAGCCCCAACACTCCCCCAGCTCTG